GGCTCTCGGGGGTCACCTTGTCACCCCTAGGGCCAGCCTGCCGTCGGGAAAGACCCCGAGTGACCTGGGGCTCAGCACGTGCAGGGCGGGTGGTGCAGGGGTCTGGTTCCGCCTGACCGTCCACTGCGGAGGGGGGGCGGAGGAGAGGGGCCCGGCCGAAGGTCAGCCCGCACCCCGCCCCGGCGCTGACCCTACCCAGGATGCAGGGGTGTGCGAAGGGGCCCTCGCTGCAGTAGAGGCCGTAGGTGCCCAGGTAGGGCGACACCACCTTCTGGACCAGGGTCTCCAGGCGCAGGTAGTCCTTGGTCACGCCCCTGGACTCGTGGACTCCCTGCGGGCGGGGGTGCGGGGTCACGTCCAGCCCCCCTCCCGCCCTGCAGCGACGCACGTCCAGGCCTGCCCCGGGGACGCCGCTGACCCTGTCCCAGCCGCCCGCACGCAGCTCCTGGAGCCCGCAGCTCGACTCTGGGGCTGCAGCGGGCATCCTGCGCTCTGGCCCCGCAGCAGGGCGCCCCGGGAGCCTCTGGGCAGCCCCGCGGCCACACTCAGGCCCCCGCGGCCCCACACTCACCCCCTCGCCCGGGGAGCACTGGCAGAGAGTCTGGGGGCCGGGTCCACGCGTGGCCAGGCCCCCCTGGCATCTGCTGCTGGCTGTGACCGGCCAGCCCGTCCACCCCACCCCGCCGCCACGCCTGCCCTCGCCCCGCGCCCTAAGGGGACCCTCCCCTGCCTCCGCTGGGTTCTCCGGACGGAGTCTGAGGAGTGGGGCTGGCCCGGGCGCGGGCCGGGAGGTCTGCGGAAACACCCTGAGACCCGCAGCCTCTAGCCGGAGAACGGTCAGCCCGCGGGCTCAAGACGCTCGTGACAATGCAGGCCTGCGTCAAGCGCCCCACACCGTCACCCCGAAAACAACAAGGCCCCACGTGGCCCCCGCCGTCCGCAGCAGCGGGGGCCCACGGGCACCCGTTTGCTCCCACCACAGGCTGGTGGAGGCAGCTCTGCTCCCCATGCGAGGGGCGGGCCCGGCTGCACCCCACTTCTGGGACCCCTGGAAGTATGGGAACACAGGCAGCCCTCAAGACACTAGCCAGCTGCTGAGGCTCAGATGCACCTGGGTCAGAAAGCAGCAGGTCAAGTTCACAGCAGCTGGGCAAGGCTGGGGGCCCCCAAGGCTGGGGTGGGCGC